TTCAAGGTGTCGTTTGTGTAACACCATCAACTCTGAAGATGCCATTATAGCATTTTTCTGCACAAATTTTACTGATCTTTCCCTTTTCTTAATGTATGTTTCAGAGGCAGAAGGATAACTTCTAATGGGCGAAGAGACCTTGATCAAGTTGCAGGACGAATTGTACTTGCACCTTGAAACTCTGAATGGCTGGAGATGATATTTAGCTAGGTTTTTTGGTCAAACGGCTTTGCTTTTGATTGTGAGTCCCTGTGTTTTAGTTCTATTTTTGACCGAGGTGAATCTTTGAGTTGCTTTAGATCTTGTTGATGGTAGACTTGCATTTCAAAATTGGAGAGTTTCTTCGTTAAATTTATAATCGGAGTATATGATTCGAGGCGTTCTTTTTGTTTTGCCATCGTCATCATCACCTGAGATGCAAAAGTTTGAAGTAGGGGTGTAATGATCCGAGTCGAGTTCGAGTATCAATATACTACTCTTGGACTAGATAGCCATTTCCCAGGCTCGAGCCTGACCCGAAAACTCGAGTAGTGCTCGAGTTTGAATCAAGCCTACTCTAGTAGAGTTGTCTCGTTTCATCTGCAGCCCAGGCGTCATTCCAATTCGGGCCGGACTCCAAGAATAATTGACTAGGATGTTGGTGGTTGGGTTGGCTAGGGGATGGCGTTGGGTCTTGCCCGGTGGACCAGCAGGGTCCATCATCAGTTGGGCTGCTCATTTTAGCGTGGTGCGCTAAGGTTTATTTCGTTCGGGCCGATTCAGTGGGTATGGGTCGGTTTAGACCCAGCCGACCGTATTCTTTCATTTTAAACAGCTTTATGAAAATTTCAAAATTAATCCCTGAGGGTTTAGGTTTTGTGTGTTGGTGGTCACACTACTTTAATTTAATTAATTTCTGGAAAATTTCAAATAGCCCCAAAACTATATAAATTTTCATTTTTATATAGGGAAATGCTCAAAAAATTCTAACAAACTTTTTCATTTTGAATGGTTTAGTTCTTAAACTATTTTTTTGAATAGAAAAACTATTAAAAAAAATATTTTTAATGATTAAGTTTCTGAATTATTTATTTGAATGAAAAATGTCATTTCTATCGTGCTTTTAAAAACCGGTTACTTACATCATTTTAACCAAAAGAGAAATACATTAGTTGACTATTAAAAGTTTGATGATTTATTTATTTTAAAAAAATTAGGGTCTTAATCATTTAAAATGTGAGCGTTTAATGATTTTATTTAAAAAATAGTTGAGAGGCTTAATCATTCAAAATGAAAAAAACGTAATAGTTTTTTTAATAAAAAAATAGTTTAAGAACTAAATCATTTTGAAAAATTTCAAATATTCCCAAAACTCTATAAATTTTCATTTTTATTTACTACATTTTAAACTATCATTTGCTTAAAGGTTTTAGATTTTACGTGCTCGATTGGGACTCATCAATAAATGCTTAAAAAACATCCATAGGGAACTCGACCAATTAAATTTGAATATATTACGATACACGTTTAGCATTATTGAGATGGATTCTTCTTAGCATAACGATAATAAACATGTAAGAGGTATTGTCGATAAAAACAACAAGATTTTACTACCGATATATCCATGTCTTGTGTTATATTTTATGTGTTACATTTGTTATTATTTAGTTTTTTTTAGTAAAAGTTTCTCATGATTGTTCATATATCATGATATTTGACTTATATATGTAATATTTGTTGAAATACTGTCCGTATGTATGATCATGAACTTTCATTCGCATGATGATGTATTGTTTACCAAGTCCAACAGAGTGAGAATGAGTTTGTCACCGTGAGTCTGTGATATTCTAACTATAACTGCAATAAGAACAATATAATCAGTTCTCCTTTGAATTTTTAGGTAATTAACCCGTAAAAAAGTGACATATGAGTCATATTTGATATAAGAGATATGCAATTAAACGAGTGATATATATTTGTTGAATTTTCACAACTACGATGCATAAAACAAAAGCATGCTAATTTTTGAGATAAAATTATTGTTTGAATTGCTGTTTAATTATTGACATCAATTTTAAATTTATAGCATGAAAACCATGAACTCCAACCTATAAATCAAGCAGTAATTTTTTAAAATTGTACATACAAAGCAATATATAACAAGTATTACTCGAAAAAGAAAAAGAATTATCTAAAATACACGTAAGATGTTCGTTATCAATCATGTTTTTTTCATTAAATTTGATGAATGTTGTAAAATCATATGATTGTGTTTTTATAACCATGAATACTTAAACCGTGTGATATTTAGAAAAAGCTTATAAAGAAATACATATAAGTGAATTTGAAATGTTAGAAAACTAAATGTTCGAAGATAATTGAACCGTATTAATTTCTATTAATGTCTTGTTTTTTCAACTACTCGTCTACATGGATTGTGACATTTTGTTAAACTTTAAAGGGGTATGGTAGAAAATTTAATCTTCCCTGAGTTTAAATTCAGATGCTATTAACGGTTATTGCAACCATGGAGGTTTACATACGATGACTCCATATCATTTACAATCACTTAGGTGGCGTTTGGTTCACATAATATTTTTGTATGAAATGAAACTTGTTAAAGAAAATTGACTTTGAAGAAATTAGAACGAAATGTTGTCAGGTTTGACCACCTGCTTGGTTGACAGACATTTGAATGGAATATGTCCTTGTGGTTCACAAAATGTAACTTTGTAATTGGAATGAAATATTGATAAATGACCAAAATGTCTTTTTTTTTTTGAAAAAAATAATTTTATTTAAACTAAAAACACTTTAATAAAATAATTTTTTAATATGTAAGACAATATAAATACACAACCCAAATATGACCATAAGCCAAATGACGTTACTAAATAAATGGTGGTGTGACGGTGGTTCAGATCAGTGGTGGTTCGTAGTGGTTCAGATCGATGGTGGTCTGTGGTGGTTCAGATGGAGATGGTCAGCGGTGGTTCTGATGGTTAGTGGTTCACATCGGTGGTTGTTCAATCGTTGGTGGTCAATGGTGATTCAAATTGATGGTAGTTGCTGGTAGTCGGTAGTGGTCCAGATCGACGATGGTTCAGATCGGTGGTTGTTCAAATCGGTGATGGTCAACAGTGCCGATGGTGATTCGGATCGGCGGTGCCAATAGTGATTCAGGTCGGTAGTATTTGCCAGTACTTCAGATCAGTGGTGGTTCGTAGTGGTTCAGATAGACGGTGAATTAGATCGGGCGTGATAGGTGGTGGTTCAGATCAATAGTGGTCGATAGTTGTTCAGATCGATGGTGGTTCAAATTAGTGGTGGTCGGCGGTTGTTTAGATCGGCGGTGGTTCAGATCGGTGGTGGTCGGTGGTGGTTCAGATCGTTGGTGGACGACGGTGGTTCAGATGGCGGTGGTTTAGATCGTTGGTGGACGACGGTGGTTCAGATGGCGGTGGTCGAAGGTGGTCGACGATGATCATATTGAGTTTTATGAGATTATAGTATCTTGGGTTAAGTACATATCTGATATTATGAAAATAGAGAATTTTATTCCATCAAAATATCATGCAGTTGCTAAAAAATGTTAAATTCTTTTATTTGTGAAATTTGTAGGATTTTGAAGATTTATTCCGTGAAAAAAATGAACCAAACGAGGAAATCAAATTTGGTCAATGAAATTCAATATTCCAATTACATCATATTCCAAACGAATCAAACGCTCCCTTAGAAAATTAATCGATTTTTAAAAAACTGGTCCGAAAATTCACAAATATTCAAAAATATATCAGTACAAAATTTTATATCGAAACTATAAGTTTTGAAAATCCATTGTTTAAAATTGGAAGTTATACAAGGAATTGATAATGTATCGTATAACATATGATAATCATAATCCATGGTTGATTGGTATGATTTTTATTATCGGCGAAACCCCGAAAAATTAGAGGTAAATAAGGAGGAGAGAAGGTACGGGAACAAGAACCCTAACCATAGACATCCCCATTCCTAAAGCTCAAAACTTCACTACTCATCACAGGCATTCCGTTCCGGATTTCTTTCCATTCCCGGCGAAGGAATCTTGCTTCTGCGCACGGTAACACCAAGGGTTAGGTCCCTAAACGTACAACTTTTCAGGTAATCAATCGGACAAAGATGATAATGTTTTTCTTTTTTTCGTTCTTGGTTACGGTCGTTTGTTTCAATTTCACTTGGGGTGAATAATGTTTTTGCGTGATTTTGTAATTTGAAAACTTGGGAAGAAGTTTGCCAGACTGAATTTGTTCTTGATTGCAGATGAGCTACTCATTGGATCATAATTCAACTGATTATCGTAAGTTTCACTATGTCTAATCCTCCAGTAGCTTGTTGGTCGGCCTTAGCTTTAACTAGAAGCTGAAAGTTGAATCCACAAGTTCATGTTCTTCTAGTACACAAGATTTGGTAGTTGAAACTTAGTAAGAACTAAGAAGCTGAAAGTTGAAGCCACAGGGTCATATTTTTTGGTTGGAAAAAAATATATACATATGTAAGAACCAAGAAGGTGAAACAGTGGTGCAGGAGTTATTATTATGATTAATGTCTGTATATATGTTTGTATATACACACACATTCATTTTGGAGAAAGTGTAAGATGATACATTTTGAGCATGATGTATGTTTCTCATATTACTTGAAGCAGAATATAATATTCTATTCAAACTGTGCCGCAATTGTTAGGTTGGGTTGATGTGGGAGTGGGAATCCTTGAACAATATCCAGTCCCAGAAAAGGCTTATTTGTTTATTGAACTGACTTCGAGAGGAAAATGTAGCTCCTTTGACTCACAGGAGTGTTATTTGCTGTTGAGAGAGTGAATGCATCTCCCATGCACATTTTGAAACAATATTTATTCTCTATTTAATGAGGTTGGATCTTTTTTTCTGGTTTGCAAGAGCATGGAAGCAAAGGTGTGGAGGTATTTGTTGGGGGTTTGGCTCGTTCTCTCACCGAAGACAAGGTTCACAAGGTCAGCCCTCTGATTAATTGCCTTGATGAATTTTTGTCTATTAGAATTACTTCTTGTTGTGTTCTGTTCATATGTTGGCCATTCCAGTCAATGCTCGCACTAGCAGCATGATGCACATCAGACTTGCAGTCAGAATTTTGACCACCATTTTTAGCTATTTTGGGGATCACTTCACTTTTATACAAGTACAACAAGAATAACGCGTAGCAAGGAAACAAAATTGAAAAAGGAAAGCCTCGAAAACGTCTTATAAGACTTGGCAGTCTCTAAGCTTTTGCTAGAAAAAGTCATTATTATCGTTGACACAATAAATAAAGTAGGGAATAATGCTCGAGGATGTTTTATGGTTGATGTCAGTGAGAGCAGGCATTAATTTGTTAGTACGTTATATCAGATTTAAGCTTTCCTGCTCAAATAGATGGCTAAATATTTGGGTTACTTGCTACCTGACATGAGTAGACTCTCAAGAAGCCTCATTCAACTCAACCTGAGTCCTGCTAGATCGACTTTATCAGTTCTCATACTTGTTTATGTTGTTGATTTTACCTAACCAGTTTACTGCTTAATGTGATTGACTTGCATTGATTTGGAAGTTGGTATAAGTTGTGTATCTAAAGTTTCATTGAATAAACTAGTCTAGTTGAAAGCAGTAGGTAATATGGCTAATGGCTTGATACACTCATGAATCTATTAGCTGAATGCCATCCATCTTCCATCCTTTTTGAGCATGATCGACTTGCATACCGGATCGTCACACATCCATTATTTTGGGAGTGAGTTAGGTTTGGAGTTCCTGCTGTTGTACTCTTATCCATTTTTTAAGGCTTTGTTTAGTTGGTAAGTTCTGATTGAGATTTGAGATCACTCTTTTTTCTCCCTCTTTCTTGATGTTGATCATTTGGTCTGCATGACTTTGTTTGTGCCTTAGTATATTAATCTATGCATGTAAGAATTACAAAGTCGTATATGCAATTTTTTTATGCTCTTGCTCACCAGAATGTTTGCACTATTATAGAGGATATAATGAGGTATATTGTTCATGAATTTCACATGGGCCACTTGTGTATATTTTCTGTATGCTAGCTTCTTTAGTCCTTCAAAATGCACTCTTTATGGAGGTTTGTGTGGACAAAATTCATCTAGTATTCATCTTCTTTCTTATCCTCCCGTGGTTGGAAAACTCCATTGGCCCATATTACGTGGTTTGGTCATCTCCAATGTAGATCCTTTGAATGCAGCAACACCAACTAGAAGAGTGGCTTGTAACAACAAGAGGTCGTTAGGAGAGATGGAGGTCAACCAAGATTGTCACGAAGGAAAGTAGCGAAGAGTGATATTCGTGAATGGAATGTGGCAAGGATTTGACCCTGGATGGGTGGAAGGATGCCATCCATGTCTTGGAACCTAGGTGTTTCACGTTTTTGCAATTTCTAATGGGTTTCATCTTTACCAGTATCAAGCTTGTTGGTGTTGTTTACGTTCTATATGTGGTAAAAGATGACCTGAAAACTAGTAGCCATGTTGCAGTGTTTATGTGATTAATGTTTTGAGTGATGAGAATTCCACCTGCTTGCATGTTTATAAGTTATTTCATATGTTCTACATGTGCATGTCAATAACATACGATAAATGTGTTACATTTGATGTTTCAACTGTGTCAAACTTCTGTTTCTGACTGCCTCTTTTAGGTGTTCTCAACTTGTGGGGAAATCATGGACATGCGATTGATAAAGGATCAAAAAGGCAACCTAAAGGTGAGGAAATCCGGGTGACTGAATATTATTTTCTTCACTAGTGCACCCAAAGTCTTATTTCATTTTATGTTTCTCTACTTGTAAAAGTCACACATCTGTTTATTGTACAAATGCATAGGGGTTTGGCTTTGTACGCTTTGCAACAAAACAGGCTGCTGACAAAGCTTTGAAGGAGTTATCTGGATCTATGGTAAAGAATATTCTCAACCAAAAGTAACTCGCGTTTATTAGATTGTTACAAAATACTGTTTGCAATGTTTTAGCCTTCCAGAATCTAGGACCATTACAAGAAACCTATGCTGTTTTTGTACATGTTTCTCATGTTAACATTAATGCAAAAGACAAGGGTCAGTTTATCGGCTAACGCTGATGCTCTGTTTATTATAATTATTTTAAAATTTGTTGTGGTCTTGTAGTTGCCATTTCCACTATATAAAAAATCAACTGAGGGTACTCCCCTGCCTTAAAGTAATTAGCTTTATGATGAGAAGAGATCTGTAGTGGTTACTGGTTACAGTGGAACTTGCCAACCGGAAAACATTAAATTCGTTAAATTAATGTTAACATGTTTCTATTGTTAACCTTAAAGCAAAGAGATGGGTTCATTATCGGTCAATGCAGTGTGAGCAACATAAGAAGTTATTACATTGTTGGTGCTATGTATGGCGTCATAAGTAGCAAGAAAGCTGCTCACGTTCCTTTATTTGTTATTATTTTTAAATTTGATGTGGTCTTGTAGTTGGCATTTCTACTATAATAGAACTCAACTGAGGTACTCCCCTGCCCTAAAGTAATTAGCTTTTTTCTGAGAAGAGATCTGTATTGGTTTAGGTGGAACTTGCCACAAGTTATTGTTGACATATTTTCTAGAAGGCATTAAATCTATTTTGTCATTGGACATCACATAAGCTGTTTCTCAATAAATCAAATGTAAATTAGTGACGTAACTCGTCTGAAATGCGATAAGAGGTCTTGAACTACATGTATGTCATTTGGCGAAATTGTTGCGTATGAAGCAATTTTTTTAAACAAATAGTGTAGAGTTTATATTGAACACATCAGAAACAGAAAACTACGAATAGAAGATTTAAATATGGCGTTGAAAACGTCAATTAGCTCGTTTGCCATGGATGGAACGAAAATTCAGAAGTTCACCTAATTTGGGATGAAGGGAGTATTTTCAGGGAGTGATCAAAGTAACAAACGTACTTTGCTTTAGCTTTCAAAAACATCACTGTAGATGCGTAAGTTGGGATGAAGGGAGTATTTACAGGGGTAAAATGTTCAAATTCTCCTAGTATGGTGATTGTTTTTGGTACTTTTACAGCCACAAACATTTTCTTTTGAAAACTAACGGGCCTAATGTCATATAAAATGGTTTTAAACGTTAATCACTCGATTTAAATGACAAAGACAAGGTTAACAGCCTTCCATAATATACATTCGATATAATAGAATATGGCGCCAAAAAGGTGCAAGTATCAAAACGGTGTCCTCCAGATTATATTTCTTCTTATGTCTTCGTAGTTACAGTGAAACTCTTGATATGAAGAACATAAAAACCTATGTCTTAAATTTAATTTGAGGAAAGTGTAGGTGCATTGCAAGCTCTTAATGTTCTTTTCTTTTTCCTAGACATCTCAACCAGACAGTCCTGGTTCTTTTTATTTTGTTTGGCCAAACTTGTTTGTCATATTTTGTCAATTACTTTTTGAGTGACGGTGTAAAACAATCCTATAGATATTATATAAGTTTCTTTCTTCTTCCTTGTGACAAATGAAATGAATTTTGAATTTTACAAAGTTAACCTTCTTGGCCTATATGTTTCAGCTAGAAGGGAAAAAGATTGGTGTTCTCCCATCAGCTGCACAGGATACATTATTTTTGGGGAACCTTAACAAAGGTGTGTTTTAATCCCTTAATGGCAGTCTCGAGCATGTTCTTTGACTTTTTAGGTTGGTGCATTTCAGTGTTTTTCTGCCTCTGTTGGTCCACAACCAAGTAATAAACCTTGTGTTTCTTAAACAACCACACTTATTGCTACCCCTCTGCGATGCAACGTAGGTTTGGCTATCTTTTCAGTTATCATGGCTTCCGATATTTGAGCCATATAGCAGAATACAGCAGAACTAATGGTTTGATCATTTCAAGATCCACAAGTTGCGTTCCTTGTTTTTTAAATGTTCTATGCTTCTTTTCCTTGCTTCATTATGATTTTTTTGTTTTTCCGTGGTAACCTAGTCCTTTTCTCTCTGTGATCTTGAAAATAGATCCTACTTTTATTCATGACTGGAATCTCGAAGCTGCCAGCCTATTTTGTACCACTTTTTCTTTATTATCATGCCTAGAGCATAATATTGTTAATTTGCATGCAAAGGCTAAAGCCGCATGGTCTTTCAGTTCCCTTTATCTTATTTATTTTCTTTGTTTAGGGTGGAGTGCTGATGATTTTAACAAGATTGTCCGGCAGGTAAACCTCTATTGGCTGTCAGCATGCCTTTATTATATTTGTTTTTGTTTTTCATTATGTAATCAAGCACATGTCTTGTGATAGTGATCATAAAATTACGTATATAACTTTTTCTTGGTGGTATAGGTTTTTCCGGATGTTGTTTCCATTGATCTTGCGTTGCCCCAAGGTGGTAGTGAGACTGCTTCTGGCAAAAAAATTAAGAATCGCGGTTTTGGTTTCGTAAAGTTCTCATCTCATGCTGTAAGTCCTTTGTTACTGATGATATCATCTTTTTGACAACTCAAATTTCAAATTAAATAGTTTTTTGATCCTGTGACACTGATCAAGGTATCTGTGCATCCTCCTTGAACCTTACTAGGTAGAAGCCAGGACTTGTGGTTTTTTATTCTCATTCCAGCATACATTTTGACTGTTATGTTCAGAAATCCAAAATTATTGACAACAATATCATGCCATTTAATTGCCGATTGGCACCGAACCCCTTTTATAGGAGATACATACTCCTCCAACCCAAAATAAATGCCCACAATAAAAAAGCAAACATTTTTTTAGAAATGTATAATTATTATACCTTTTAATTAACTAAATGACAATTTAACTTTAATAACTGTTACACTTTGATGACAATTTTGTCTCCATCTCATCAGTTCTTAAATATTCGTGCGCCATAATTAAGGGTAGACTTTGAAATTTAGTAAATTTATAACATTCTATTATTGAAAGTAGACACTTATTTATGGACAAACCTTTAGAAATGTGTAATTATTAAACTTTTTAATTCACCAAAGGACAAATTTACTCTTAATAATAGAGAAATATTTTTTCCATCTTATAATTAAGGGTAGTATGGGAAATAAAATATTTACTTTCAAAAGTGGACACTTATTTTGGGACACATTGAAATAGAAATGTGGACACTTATTTTGGGACGGTGGGAGTATTTTGGTTGTGGGGTGTTCATATATGTATAACTTACACAAAGAGATTTCCTCTGAACAGTCGAGTCCTTGTAGCAAAGAATAAAGATAGTGTCTCATAATGAGATTTCTTCTGAAGGATCGGACTGTTGTAATGTATACAGAGTTAAGCTCTCCTGGACTCCTGTACCTGTTCATGTAAATCGACTTCCTCATCTATTTTGTCAATGGCCACACATTGCGGAGCTTGCTGAACGCTTACCCCATATCATAATAGCTTCAACACCCTTATCGGGATTCATTCCCAAAAGCTGGTTTTACTATTTTTGTTTCTGGTTATGCCGCTTTGGTACTCAATCCACTTAGTGATTTATTTTTCCAGCCAAATCTTTCCCATTTAGCGTTGTGTATATAGATTGGAGACTCGATAAAAACTATTTCATGGTTCAACCATTTCAATTCTTGCAACCAGAGCCACCAAACTCAATCATACGGGCTGATCTGAACTGCTAAGCCTATTTATTGCCAAAAGGCAGAAAGAATGATAAAATTTGATGCATGAAAGTTGCATCTTCAGTTCACCAATCAAATATAATCTTTTTAAGATATGCAATAATTTGATGAAGTCTTTACTTGGTCATATGAAAGATTATGAGACACATGACAACAGTACAACACCGCTATCTGCAATATTGAATGTCGCTACTTCAATCTCTCTATCCAGACTGCAGCACGTGCATTTAGGGCTGGTTCGAAGCCAGATTTTGTTCTTGGTGGTGCTTTGCACCCATCAGTTCAGTGGGCTGAGGAGGATACTGAAGCTAATCCTGATGAAATTGCTAAGGTGTTCATCTCTTAATTTAACATGAATGCTTGTTCTGTTCTGAATGCCTGTTGTATATATATGAATTCATTTTTGGATTTCCAGGTGAAAATAGCATTTATTAGAAACCTACCCTCAAGTACTGATGAAAGCTTCTTGAAGAAACTCTTTGTGCCCTTCGGGAAGGTCAGATATGCTGCAGCTTATTTGTGATCTTTTCATTAAGGTATATGCATTGCAAGTCTTGAGGATTTGTATGCTCATCTTTCAGGTAGAGAAAGTGGTGGTGTCCAGCAAGGGCGATTCTTCAGTTGGATTTGTCCATTTTGCTCAACGATCAGTAAGTGGCACAATTTTAATTTTAACTCAATACACCAAATGTTTCCCCTGAAGAACAAAGTTGACTTCTGCCTATAGTACAAAGCCTTCACCATGTGGCATGTGGCTACCACTCACACAACATTGTTTGCTAGTTTGATTATTTGTTGAACTTGTAACTCCATAGTTTTTTCAAACACAAACTTGATTTAGCATACAGTTTAACATTATATCCCCTTTTCATTTTACTTTCTGCACTCATGGGAATACTTACTGTTTCTTTCTGCTATTACTGTAATTTGTAACTTCGCTTCAATATGTAGCACCTTGATAATGCCATAGAGGAACTAAATGAAAAAATTGTCCAAGGGCCAAAGGGCAGTCCATCATTTAAGCTACAGGTACCACAAATTACTTTAGGCTTTTAATTTATGATCCATAACAGAAACAAATAGATCCGAGATGGAATCATCTAAACTTGTGTTTATGATAGGTCGAAGTTGCAAGGCCCATGGAAAAGAAAAGGAAAAGGGTTTATGAAGATCCTCAAAGCACTCAGCCCCGTGAGATTTCAAGTAAATCGAAACCTCGAAGTTATGAGCCAGTCTTGAATTCCTTTGATGGGCATGAAGAGACACTTCAAAAGGTTTATTACCTTGATAACAATGCCCTTTATTTTTTAAATTTCAAGTCTCACTGTTTTTGTTCTTAGAAGTCATTCTGTTTCGAACTTGGTACTGAATCAGGTTGCGGAAAGATCTTTAAAACACTTCTTCTATATGCTATGTTGTTCGGATGATAATAGTTCTTAAATATAAAATTTGGATTATTATAATTGTTGGGAACTCTTGCATGTATTCTTTAAGGCTTGAAAAGCTTCTTCATCGTTCCTTATTATTCCAAAGGACTAGGACTCGTGCCACTTCCATCTTAATGGTGCTGCTAGCCAACAGTCACCAACTTTTTAACATCTGATGTTCATCTGTTGCTAACTTGCAAAAAAGTGAACACCAAGAAAGTTCGATCTTGGTATAGATATTTTTATCATATATTATGATGGTACATGTGGAAAGAGAATGGTGATATTCAAGTGTTACACTGTATGGAAGGGCTGAGACGATATAATGAACCTTTTTTCTTGTTCTCATCTTTTGGTTTTATTCAGCTTATATCTCTTTCCAATTATATACATGGTGCTGATTTTTGGGTATTTTTCTTAACTGATAGGAACCTTTTGTTGCTGATCCCTATGAAGCTGCTGTTCTACTATTACCAGTGGCTGTCAGAGAGCGGCTACTTCGAATTTTGCGGCTTGGTATTGCTACGCGATATGATGTATGTTTTCACTTTTCAGATCATCCTTGATGGCCCATGATTATCCACTGATTTACTTTTCTTTTCTTCATTCTTTGCTTTAAAATTTTCTTTTGGTGTGGCAAGTTGAAGGAGCGTGTTTTCTTCCCACAATGTATATTAGTACGATAGCCTTAAGAAAGCATGGGACCCGTGCAATAGTCTTCCATGTGGGGCCACGCATGTTGCCAACAATAATTTTCTTTAGGTCCATCTTGAACTTTCTTTTTTGTTTAACATTGTTGGGACTTTGATGGGTTAACTGAACCCGGCCACATGTAAATAAGGTGTCAAGTTGTTCTAATCTTGATGCTAAGCTTTTCGCACTTTTCTACTTTCAAGGCAGTGAAGGTTTCTGACCACATCCTTTCTTCCAACTTTACTCCAAATTTGTAAACGATGGGCTCAATGGGGGCATTTTAGCAATAAAGAAAATCGTGACTTATATCTTTGAGTGGAACACATAAAAAACCGTGTTTGATTTGTAGCTAATCAGATTTCGAAAGACCCTATTTCATATTTGGCTGGGATGAACTAGAGGTCAACGTTGATCTTAAGGGGAATATTAATTTATATACATTGGAGGTTTAATGGGTATGCATGTATTTATGGTTAACCTAGAATCTTCTAATAATACCCTATTAATCTAGAAGAATAACAAGTCTGAATGATTGTAACATGTCTTCACTTTTTGCACCATCTATTACACTGATTTCTGCTTAAGTGACATCTTAAGGAACTAAGACATCCGTTGAGGATGCTGTAATAACACGACAGCCAATGGTTTTGTCTTTTACTTGATAAATATCGATATCTCCAGTCAGGAAGTTGACCATTTGCTTTCCTATATTTGATTTTTCTTTGTCAGATTGAAGTTGAATCCTTATCTAAGCTAGCGGAACTACCTGAATCTACGGCCATATCAATCCTTGATCAGGTTAACTAAATCTGTACAATTGGATCTCTAATATACAAGAAAGTATTAGTTTCATCTCTTTATAAATTGATCATGCCCATTTCTCGCAGTTCATGTTATCGGGAGCAGAGAAGCATGACAAGGTAGCATATCTTGCGGCACTAATTTCTAGGGTATGTATCAGCGTCCATGGCTACAAACATGTTAAGTTTCGGTCTTGGGGCTCTAGTTTCTAGTACCAATGCAAATAATTTCTATTTTGTCAACAGTACCAGGTGGAGAAACTCGGAATGGATCAACAACTACCCTCGAGTTTGTTGAGATTAGGGGACACTAATACTAGGGAGTCAGTGGGCCTCTCTGCTCGGGTGCATCTTCCAGCCATTGATTCTCTTGGCATGCATGTTGACCCAAGTGTGTCGTGGTTAGTTTCTTGCATCCGAAATAAATTCGGTTTATCTAGTTCACTGCGTATATAATGGGAATTTTCATAATGGAAAGGAAATTTTCCTTAATTGCTCTTTTCGATCATTTATGATGCAGGTCTGAAAGCTATGCATCTCGTTATTCTTCTTTATATTCAGATCATCATCGTCTACCAACCAGCCGTGCAGGTGTTGTAAGAACGGAAGAAAGGAGTCCTTTAAGCTTGCTGGAATTTCCGGGTTCTTCTACCACTGCTTCTTACAGTCGGTATTTAGTAAATTCGCACATTCCACCAGCTTATGCAAACATGGAGGAGATGAGTCCAATCCCGTCCCACCGAATCCCCGGTTCGTCTTCAACACCTTACTCAAAAATTGCAAATGATCCTTACCGAACACCTGGCCCTTCTTTAGCTTATGCAAAAGGTGGTGCAGATCCTCCTCACGTTGCAGCGTCCAGTGATCGTCAACCTACTCGGCCCCAAATGAGATTCGACCCATTTACTGGTCAACCTTACAAGTTTGACCCTTTTACCGGTGAACCCATTGTTCCGGAAGGGCGCCGTTAGGGATTTCTGTCTTCCTGTACTAATCATGAGACATTCTTTCTCTAATGTTATCTGGCTAAACCAAGTGTCAGATGTCAGTTGCTGCAGTTGATGTTAAATTATAAGAGATGTCTGTGAGTGTTAAAAACACCCAGAATCCATGTACATTAATGGATTAATTTACATTTCCTGCAACTTAAATTCTCTTCAAAAAAGCAATTGCTTTTTCCCAAAAAAGCTGCAACTTAGGATTCGTTTACCAAAATACTTGCCAGGTTTTGTCCAGCGAAACGACATTGTACATGAAAATTTATCTGGTAAATGTTAACCGGGTAAGAGTCGTTACCATTATTTACCGGCTTAGACTCTTAGGGTTCTTGCTGTTGCTCTTATCACGTAAGATTCCCAGCCTATCATGTTCATAAGATAAGGTAAATGACCCAGTAAATACTTACCAGGTAAGTGTTTAATAAACGGCTCTTTACTCTCCGTGCTTTCTGGCCAATAACTTTCCATTTATTGTACACATTGAATATGGATGTATATATCTTTTTTTTAACACTAAAATCTACGAATGTAGTGAAAGGTCATGGCACAATTGGGAAATTTTCCAAAATAACCATTTTGAACATCTCATTTCACTTTATAATCTTTTTTTACTCAGTAGCCTGAAATAGTCCAGATCTCTAAATAACACTTTAGCAATTTATGAAATATATTTTTCAAGAATTTAATATTTTTAAAGTAACACTAGCAATTTACTAAAGTGCTACTTATCAAATGCTGACGTGGAAATGTCACTTACACAACTTGCTAAAGTTGTTAAAGTGTTATTTGTCACACAAGTATCTTGCAAGTAACATTTTCGCAACTTGTAAAATGTTATTTTATAAGTATTAAATTCATAAAAAAAGTTCGCTTATTATTAAAATATTACTTCTGAAATCTTAACTATTTTTGATCAGTTAAATAATGAAAATGGCTATAAAAGTAAATTTGAAAAGGAGTCTAAAATGACTATTTTATACATTTCCGCACAATATTCTAGAGACTAAAAACATTACAAATGAATTGATTTTTGTAACCACTAAAATTATTGCAGTCCATGATTACATCTCCAGTCTTTTAGAGGTTTCTTTCACGTGGTGTAAGTTGAACCTTAAAAATACTCTCTTTGGCCCATCTTGTCGATATCAATGCTTCACCTATTAAGTATCGTTTGCTCTCTTGGATACATACACACATTCATATGAATGTACGTACAAAATGTTATTATAAGTGAGCTTTATTGGTTTCGTTTGATTATATATAGGGTTAGATTCCAGTGACAGTAAAAGTTACAGTGAGAAGGGTAAAAATGGATCTCCACTTTTAGATCAATCCTAATCGAAGAAAACCACTAGATCAATTATCTTTTAACACACAATTCATGAATTGTTTTGGGACTAAAAATAATCAATGATACAAATCCCTTGTTACACTTTTCATCTTAACTCCTATTCTAACACGATCTTTTGTGTGTGTGTATATATATATATATATTTTTTGGTTACATTTATATGATGGGTAGATAAATTTTGGAGGGAGAAGGGTCCAAAAGTAGGTACAAACATGCATGCTGCAGGTACAATGTGAAGTGAAATTGAAAGCGGGCCTTGTGGTAGTGGGCTCGACCGACCGGGAAACAAAGGGAATAAAGTGAAATCTTTCTGGCACATGGACACCCGGCTGGACCGGACACAAACCTGACCCGATATGTCAATGTCACTTTAGTCCTTCCCTCTTTATCACTTTTCATTTTCGGCCCCTCAAATATCCTACTATTTCAAATAACCCCTTCAACGTTGCCTTTTAAACTTGATTTTGTCATCAACATTATTATACTCGATCACAACCTTTCATAAAAGAGATTTTCGTTAATTAAAAAGAAAAGCAAGAATCATAACTTGATATAAACTGATACATAAATCCACCGTTACAAAAAAAACTATCGTTCCGTAAATCATATTAAAAAAAAGAAAAAAAAAATACTTGATAGAACGTTAAATATAACATGGAATTTTGCCAAAAATGTTGTTGATTTAGCATCATCGAAATATGAGAGTAATTTAAATGCCACGTCATGTATTCGGAAAATATATATTTAAAAAAGGAATTGATGACACGTTGGACATTGATAGGCGTAATGGATAGAAGAAGATAACAAACGTTGCTACTATCAAAGTTTATTTAATTCTTTCGAATATAATCACGTGCCTTAGCTGCCACGTGGTCTTCCTCACATGCCACCCCCATATCTTCAAATCCCCAGTCAACTTGTTCTTTTTTATTTTCATACCTTCCTAAATGAATATGTAATTATCATATATTTTAATTAATAAAATAATTTTTATATCTTTAATAATAATTAACAACAATAAATTCTTTTTAAACACTTATTTTTAAAACTTTATGAGAAATTAAACTATAAATGTAATCCTAATTATTGTTTAATTATATAAAATCCTTCTTAACGAAAATAAATAAAAATATAGAAAAAGTAGAGTAAATTTAGGAACTTTAAAAAATTGTACTGTGTTAAATACTATGATTGATCTACGTTAAATTCATTTCGGATCAAAAGATCAAATTAAAAGTCAACTGTTTTTAAATCTTTTCCAAACAAATTTCAATATCAATTTAATGTGGGTAAAGGAGATTGCTATAATGACTAATGATGAAATGTAACATGCAATATAATACCAATTTTCAACCAAATAACAACCGGAGTAATGAATCGACAGATGCATCGAGACTTTTGAACAACAGAATCAGGAGAAATTATTGACGAAGTATGTAGAGAATTGATGTATTAATTAAAACCGAAACCATGACTACAAACTTTGTGAAATAAACCAACAAAACAAAAAGTAAAGCCGACAAAAGATGCAGATGACGTGAACGGCAAACTAGGATCGAAGAAAATGCACCACGACCAAGTAATGTTTAATTAGGGAGATGAGGCCATAGTTGATCACGTAAACAACCTCTCGATCTTACTGGATGAGGTAAAATCTATATATTCGATTTCATTTGGATCCTATCTTTAGAGGAGATATATTGACAAATTGTTCATCTACTGCTTATTGGGTAAGTGTTTATCATGAGTCGTTTACTTTATCGAATGAGCATGATAAAGATCGAGAACCGGTTTAGGATGTTGTACAATGTGCATTGGGTGTTGTAGGGAGGGGGTGGGGTTAGGGTGCCACCGGAGCAGAAGCTGCAGGGAATGTGCAGAACATGCGGTACAATTCATGCTGCTTCACTGTCTCTCCTTTGTCACTCACATGCGACTCTCAAACCTACAATCCTGTTTTGCATGTGCTTCCCATGTGCATGCGCCGCTTTGCGCACTACGCACCCCTTCTCCCTGCTGCCCCATCCCCTATTCACATGTCCCTCTATTTTCCAAATAATTATTTAAACAAAGGGGTATTTTGGTCAAATGATACATGTCATGTGCCCATTGCAGCCTTTCTAGACCATCTTCTTCCCGCTACTATTTCTTTCTAAGTTCAGTGAGATACCCAAACGTTTGTCGTTTTCTGTCCTTTGAATTTACACAAATACCCCTACACCCAATTCAAAACCTTTCTTTTTATTTTTTCTTGTTAACATTTTAAATCAAGATCTTGTTCCTTTATGAAATTACTTGATTGCCCTCTAAATCTAGAATCTAAAAGTAATTTGTAAAGTTGAAAACGTTTTGCTATTTAATAAGTAATAATCAGAAAAGGGAAAATGGCATTTTCGTAAATAAGTGAGAAAACGGAAGGCAAAAGAAAAAGATCCAATTACTTAAACCCCAAAACGATGAATGGAGCCCCACCCAAACCCAAAACGGAAATCGATCTCTCTCTCTCTCCTGCAATCTCTCAACTTCTGGTTATGGGTTCGACGCCGAGGAGATTAAAGAATTTCGCCCCGAGAAAATCTCTACGAGGATCGTCCGGTTCACAACACAGAAGATGTAGATCTCATCATAAGAATTCAACAATAACGACGTCGTCTTCTGTTTCCGATAAGCTGGAGGCTCTGAAGAACCTGATACCGGCTCAGGAAGTCGACGGTGCCGCACCATCATCGGCCGATCAGTTGTTCCAGGAAACCGCAGACTACATTCTCCTTCTACGAACACAAGTATCGGTCTTACAAAAACTAGTCGATTTTTACGGATCATCCTCTTCTTCATCCTCCCTTGTACAGCAGTAATCACGACATAAATATTTTTAATTTTGATTTTAATTTTAATTTTTTTATTTGGATCAGAGATAATCAAAGAGAGACGTCTCATTTCTTTGTCTATTTTTTTCTCCTTTTTTTATTTTTGGTATTTATTTAATTAGATTTTGAATGCGTCCTTCTAATATTTTAAATTCTTTTTCATTTCAATTTATTTTACATGTTAATTTTGTTTTAATTCGATATTTTCCTTGGATTTGTATGGCTGATTGATTAATTTGAAATCAATTAATAAATTTTGGAAAAAAAAAGTCACGGTGACAGGAATCTATATGATCCTGGTGGTGGTAACCGTTAATTTCAACGATATCTTTTTCTGACGGTCGGTGGCGGTAACCGTTAATTTCAACGATATCTTTTTCTGACGGTCGGTGGTGGTGGTGGGTGGTGATGCGGTGGAGCTGCTCGGCTTATAAACATGTTACTAGTTACCTCAGATTTTGTGGGTGGCATTTTTTTTTCTGGTAAAATTATTTTGGAGTGCAATTTTGTCGGCTCGTACAATCGTTTATTTATTAATTATATTTTATGCATTCCCATCTCAATTTACAAATGCATGACGACTTCAAGAAAGGAAACGGTGGTTTACCAAATGTTTGGAACCACCTTTTATCAAACATTTATCCGATAAGTATTTGTCGGTAAAATTTAACATTATTATGTAATATTGAGTAAGATTTTAGTCTACTAAAACAACATCGTATGCAATAATTTACCCGGTAAGCGTTTACCGTGGCAAGAGTCGTCGTCCTCACTTACCGGGTAAGACTCTTGGTCGTTGTCTCGCTCTTACCGGGTAAGATTCTAGGTCCTTACTATATTCATCCGGTAAAGTAATGTTACTTGGTAAACATTTGGTAAACAACCCTTAAAACATGTAGGTTGGTATTTTCGGCGTTGTTTGTAAGCGTCTCTTACCCTATCTCATTTATCAGGTAAAATGGGCTGTGGAATAGTACGATGACACATACCATCATTTTATAGCTCTTTTGTAAAAATTACGTTTATAAAAAGTGTCACCGTATTATTTTGTTTGATACCATCGTATAACTTTTGGAACTAAATTCTTAAGATAAAGTTTTAATGGTTGAGATGGTGAACGTTCGGGCCTTTCTACAAAAGGTTTAGCTTCAAGTCTCTATGTTATTAATTTTGTTACTTTTATTTTAAGTTTTGATGTTTTTAGTCTCTTTTATTCGAGGACAAAAGCCTACTAACAAATCTAGACTAATATTTTTGAGAAAAAAAAACTAGATATTTTTTTATAGTTAAATTGTGTGATCATTTGAAAAAATTTCTAGATCCATCTATGATGGGTAAGAATCTCGATTTGTCATACCTTTTATCAGGTAGGATTTTCAAACGTTGTCCTGTTCATCCAGAAACGTAAATAACAGATAAGCATCCAGTAAACCATTCGTCATTCAAAACAGGGCTCACTCCGTCATGTCTCGATGAATATTATGGTGTGCAAGGGGAACAAGAGACTGGTCATAGAAAGGGAGATGTAAGAAATGATCATTTCCATACCTAGGAGACTATGGAAAATTTGGTTTATAGTAATTAAAAATATTTAAGTGTCTTAATAGATTTTTGTATAAAATTTAAGTTTATAAGATCAAACAATAAAACATTATATAAAAGTGTTACATTTTTGAACGTCTTGACAAGTTTTTAGTATACTTATGAAATAAAATTAACTGCTTGTCTTTTTGTATGACACTAATTTAAAAATGTGTCTTGTAAAAATGCGTTCATATAACATATTTAAAAAATTATATAAAATAATTAATACGATATTTTATTTTAAAACTTGTTAAAACGTCTAAAAGTGTACTATAAATTTAATGGAACACTTTTAGAGATAACATTTATGTTTAGTCTTATAAAAGTAAGGCTTGTAAAGCAACTTGTTATAACATTTGGACAGTTTTGATGTTCTAAACTCGATTTTGCTGTAGTGTGGTAAGAAGAAAGGAAAATCAAACTCCAAAAAGGTACATCTTTATAAGCAAAGTACCTCCAACCAGGGACGTTCCAATCTTTCTAAAGGCCTTGTTACATATAAAGTTTTTTTTGACACTGCAAAATGAGATAACAATGATATGTATACATATAGAAATTACAGTGTCGAATGTATTACTTTTGTTTTTTTGATATAAATCAGAGAGATACTAAGGTGGACTATAAACTTATGTTCATTGATAAATACTGTAAACAATATAAAATCAATCACTAAGTTTTTTCAAAATCACACATTTAACATGCTAACATGACCCTAATTTTGACTATCAATATAATAGAGTTTCCATCATATATTCCATAAGGATGACCCAACAAAAGAGTGACAAACAAACTTATCCCAACAAGTTTAATCAAGGTTTTAAATGACATGAGGTATAGTGTGACTGTAAGGTCAAGCCTCAAGTCTTATGAGTTACAGTGAGGTTACAACGTTTTTAAGGCATGATTTTTGGTAACAAGTTTGTTATCATGTATACAATTATATATAGGAGATCTTCTTTTAAGAACTCGATATTTTATGGGAACCGTGATGTCTGTTTTAAGCCACTAAATTATATTAAATCAGGAGATTATTAATTTGATAATTTTAAATTAAAAAATCAAACAAAGAAAATTACGAGTATTTATCAATCTCCACTCTCCTCCCTCCTTCTCTCTCCATTTCCTTCGTCGTCCTCAACTACCTCCACCCCAATTTTTGTGAACACACACAAAACAATTCATCCCCAACATGTTCTACTACCACCCTATTTTTTGTAAGCACAACATGAACACCATTGTGAACCAGTTTTTTACAATCCTATGGATACCATTAACCAATTTGTGTACAACAAAATGTGAGCAAGAATATGAAGCAATTTTTTGTCAATAGACTGTGCACACCACACATTTATTGTGCACAGTGTGCGCACTCTAAAAAATGGTAGTTATGTGGTGGAATTGCAATTTGCACACCATCGTTACTCAACTAGATCTCGTTCGAGTGGTGAATTGAAGAATCTGAGTATGAGATCGAGATCAGACGTCGGTGTTCTTTCATGATGGTTTCGAGATCTGGATTCAATGTACGACTAAGGTTGAGGGGGTAGATGGAGATGGAATATGTAGTGGTCGGATATGTGATGACCGGAGAATGGTTGACAAATATATAGAGTGTTTGTAGATTTGTAGATATGTTCACCAGTTGTCTACTGTTCGCCAGAAAACATGGGCGGAAGACTGATAATCGCCAAAAAACAGGGGCAAGGAGTGGTTAGTGTTTGACGGAAAGCATGGTTTTGTGTGTGGGGGGGGGGGGGTTGGTGTTCGCCAGAAAACAATAATGTACACGACTAACAATCGGTAATTTTGCTGCTTTATGAAGTATCATATCAATAAACTAGGTTAGATACAAAAATTGGGTCACCCTAATTTATGATGGTTGGTAATGGATCCAACCTGGTTTATGACATATTTATCAACTAGGGCTGATCTAGAGGCTGGATTCAAAGAAGCAAGTCCTGTTAACCAAACCAAAAGATGCATATTGGTCGGCGCAGATAATATGGATGTTTCTACTTGATAAACAAAAAGTAAAGATCATAAAGAAAAAACCCAATTTATTATCCATATCAAACCAAGTACCAGTTCCTCAAAGTGAGCCTGGTCTAAAATAGTGAAGCTCCCAAATGCTATATAGATGACGGAGCATGCTGGCTGCTGATCAAGCCATGATAAGCAGGTAGAGTCTTCTGGCCAGAAGTGGCCGGCTTGTTCAGCAAGTCGGTTGCTTGTCAATTGGCAGCAGCTGCGGAAAATGGCTACACGTTGCAGTCTCCAGGTGATAACTTGAGTTGCATAATATCCATTCCGCCATTGTGGCAGCCTTGGCAGCTTCTACTGTAACCTGAAAACACTTCTTGTAGTGGCCAAGTCACCGATACAGCCCCATGAGAGGTTTGCTGGTTTTATAGGTGGCATGGTAGGTGATGGCTGAGTCGTATTATCGTTTAAAGGAACTCCTGATAAACAAAGGTAAAGAAAGATAAATCAAGGTTCAAATTAGAATTAGAATTGAATGAAATAGTCAGAGACTCACAGTTGTCTCACCAGAGTGGTTTATGATTCCATCATCTATTAACTTATGAAAGTTCAACATGGAAGCCAATGCAAGAGCTGAGGCAGGCCAGAAGGATGCCCTTCTAATTCCCATCTTCTCTGCGACCTGTATGGCCCATCCCATCCAGTTATTGGCAATAACACAAGTGATTTTGCTATGTCTTTTTTGTTATTCGTGTTTATAATTTTACCAACTTTGCAGGCATGTATTGGAATATTGCTTCCACCTGCTTACCAAGGTTGTTCCTATCGTCCCATGGTTCCAACCCGCCCGGGATTGAAACCATTTGCATCAGATCACTGAAATCATCTTTTTCTGACCAGGTGCTTGTTACCAGTTTGTGGGTGACCTCTGTGTTTATGAAGGGGGTGACTTTGATACCATACTTAATCAAGTGTTGAGCAAACTCCATTAGAGGAATTACATGGCCTTGTGCTGGATAAGGAATGACTACATGATCTTTTCCATGTTTCTGTGTTGGTGGTTACTTCAGGATTAATCTAACTCTTATAGACAACCATGGCTGAGATGCCAAAGCTGTAAACTAGTATCCTTCGTCCTAGTGACGGTTGCAACAGTCTTAGTTAGCCAAGTAGTAGGATACATCGTAATTTAGACTCCAGTTTCATCAAATTTTTGTGGGTTCTTTTGTGTCTTGCACACATGCTGATTGAAGCATGTGACATATAATCCATGGGACTCTTGAAGCTGACAAAAACCAGGCCTTGTGCCTGCAGCTAGATATCTGCCAGAAGGCAAGAAAACAATACTAGGAGTTAGATATAATCAGCCACGTCAACCGAGGATGTTGACAGGTCCTTAATGATATCTTTTGAAGGCTATATCAATACCAAAAGATTTGAATCTCTTATAAACATGGTTTATTAACATTATGATCAGACCTATTAATTTCATGTCACAATGGCTTAATATTTATATCTTACAATTCAGTAATAGTGATATATTGGTTTAACGATTAACCATATGGATCATTTTACAAGAGAGTATGGTAATCAACTTGTGATCTATCTACAGACATATGCCACTGGTCTGCTACACAATAACATATATTATGAGTCTCTTCTGCCTATAGATTCTGAAACCTCATGTTATTGTTGATGTTCATCAACATTTTTCGACAAGGAGTCCTTATGTTCGGATCCTTTCTGTGATGGACTGAGCTGTGAGCATTTCATCAAGAACACGTATTTTTTTTTATTAAGAGGTGATCAACCCATGATGCTAAATCTATGAGACTGATACAGAGCAAGATGGTACTCTTCGTGTTCATCTTTTAGCAACAGGATGTTAGCCGAGGATCATACAAGGGAACAACATGTGTTGATGCATGGCTGAAAGGGAGGGAGACGATGACAAGCATGATAGGTTCGAAAATTTGTTTAGGCTATTTTGTATGCTGTATCAAGTGATTATATTTCTAACTGATCTTATTGTAAGCACAGAGACACTTCTGCCGACCAACAGGACTAGCAGTATGGTCCCTAGTCTTTGTCCATGAACTGCACTTGTTTCTAGTTGATAACATTCAAATCACTGATTAACAGTCCTAAATTGATGCATTCCATCATTCTTGAGCCTTTGATATTTATATATGTGCACAAGTACACGAGTTTAATGTCCAATACGAGCTCTCTATCAAGGATGAATTCATCAGAATAGCTTGTTATTGGGGGTCTTGCCAATTGATGATGAATTAAGTAACCTGAGATCAAAATTTCCCAACATAAGCTTACTGGTTTCAGCATACACAGATTGTAATTGTCCCCGTATGCACAAACATCTGGGCTTAAACACTACAGGAGGGTTTCTAGGACCAAATATGCAAAAAGGTGAGCAGGCATCCCTGCGGACACCACAAACAATAGTTATGACAAAGTAACAAAAGGAGACACTTAATGTTGTCCACAGATCTTTCTTCTCGTGTTCATATAAAAGCCAACTGTTCTTCCTGTAAACAAATCCCAAACAAGCCTACCCACACAGACACACGGTACTTCAAATCAATAAAGACCAAACACAAGTCACAACTATGAATCCAGAACAACGGAATTTATATTATCAATCAAGTCTCTTATACTCCATTCATTTTCTGTTTCATGTGCCTTTTACTGATCCAAATCAAGATGAAAGATGATTTTCTTTCTCCTTGATCCATTGAATAAAATTGTTTAGATTCTTTTCTGAGCTTCCACCGTTTCTGATACTACTCACAGCCTTTTCTTTGAGAGCCAGGGCGTTATCTTTGAATGTTGTGTGGCTGAGCAGCTGGTTCACTTTACTTTTGATCTGTTCTGCTGTGATGACTCCACCTTTGTTTTTCTTCAACGCCAGCCCGTTCTCCCAGATGTCACAAATGTAAGTTTCATTTTGAAATTGATCAGCAAAGTACGGCCAACACATGAAAGGGACTCCATTATTGACACCTTCCAAAGTAGAGTTCCAACCACAGTGGCTCAAGAAGCAAGCCACTGAAGGATGAGATAAGACCTTCTGTTGAGGTGCCCAGCTCACTATTCTTCCCCGACTGCCAACTCTATCCATATATCCTTCTGGGTAAGTAACCGTAGTCTCCTTGGTGATACCTGGCCGCACAACCCACAAAAAGGGTCTATTGGTTAGTTCAAGACCAAGTGCCAGTTCTTCAAACTGAGCCTGGTCTAAAATAGTGAAGCTCCCAAATGCTATATATATGACCGAACATGCTGGCTGCTGATCGAGCCATGTTAAGCAGGTGGAGTCTTCTGGCCAGAAGTGCCCGGCTTGTTTAGCAAGCCGGTTGCTTGCCAAAAGGGGACCAATTGACAACAGCTGTGGAAAATGGCTAAAAGTTTCAGACTCTAGGTGATGACTTGAGTTGCATAATATCCATTCCGTCTTTATAACAGCCTTTGCAGCTTCTACTATAGCCTGAAAAACAATTTTTGTAGTGGCTAAGTCACCGATACAGGCCCAGGAGAGGTTTGCTGGTTTTATAGGTGGCATGGTAGGTGACAGCTGAAATATATTATCGTTCAATGGAACTCCTGATATAAAAAGTTAAGAGAGAGATAAATCAAGATCATAATCAGAATCAGAATTAAATGAAATAGTCAAAGTTGTCTTGTCTCACCATCGTGGTTCATGATTCCATCATCTATTAACGTCTGAAAGCTTAAAAGGGAAGCCAATGCAACAGCTGAGGCAGGCCAGAAGGATGCTCTTCTAATTTCCATATTCTCTGCGACGTGTAAGGCCCAACCCATGCTAATATCAGCAATAACACATGTGATTTTGCTATCATCTTCTTTGTTAATCGTCTTTATAAGTTCTACCAACTTGGCAGGCATGGTTTGGAATATTGCTTCTGTTTGCTTAGCCAGGTCGTTCCTGTCCTCCCATCGTTCCAATCCATCTGGGAGTGAAACCATTTGCATTAGATCACTGAAATCATCTTTTTCTAACCAGGTGCTTGTTACCAGTTTGTGGGTGACCTCTGTGTTTATGAACGTGACTTTGATACCATGCTTAACCAAGCGTTGAGCAAACTCTAGTAGAGGAATTACATGGCCTTGTGCTGGATAAGGAATGGCTATAACATGAATCTTCTCCATATTCATATTTTTGTGTTGGTGGTTACTTCAGGATTAATCTAACTCTTATATACAGCCATGGCTGGCTGAGATGCCAAAGCTGCAAATCTCGTCTGTTTTGTCCCACTTTTGTTAGAATTTGATCCTTGGGCCTAGTTAGTCCATGGAGGTAACTTCAGGATTAATCGGTTGCACTAGTCTTCAGCTAAGTAGGGTTATGGGGTTGCCTATTTTCGACTTTAGTTTCATCAAAATTTTGTTGGTTTTTCTGTGTCTTAACACATGCGGTTAACAGGTATTTGAAGCTTGATCACATATAAACCGTTGGTCTGTTGAAGGTGACAAAAAACAAGGCCTTGTGCCTGCAGCTAGAGATCTCCACACGGCAAGAAAACAGTATTTCGAGTAAAATATAACCAGCCGTCGAGGATGTTGACAGGTCCTTAAAAAGTACCCAAAATCTCATAAAGATCGTTCATTAACCTTTCCAGTGGTTTGGTATTGGGGTTCTGGTAAGACTCGTCATTTCTGTCTGCTTTTTAAAAAATAAAGATATTTACAAGTAAAATGGCAAAAGATCCTCCACCTTGTCTTCTTTCGTATTCATTTTAAGAACAAAAACAAGGGTTTTTGTTTTTTTCGCCTCAGTCTCTTCTCTTTGTCTTTAAAGTATGTAAACAAGAACAAAAAATTCAACAAAAATAGATCATTTCTCTTTATGTGGAAACAGATGTAATTAATTGCATATGTTTATACTTCTGTCACGATGATTCCATGTGGACCATATCCACTTGTGATTCATACTTTTTACGAGTCCCTTCTGCCTCTAGAATCTGAAACCCCATGTTCGAACATCAACAAGAGCACTTGTATGTTTATATTCGTTTTTTTAGATGGAATTAGATGAAGGCTCGTGATTGGTAAATTCGGTTATTTTAGAATTAAATTCCTTCCCTTTATCGTGATCCTAAATCAGCATACGCCGGCATGACTAACATCCGGGCTTCAACATTATAAGAAGGTTTCTACTCCAGGACCACAAACACAAAAAGGTGGACCTCCAAGAAACCAACCCAGCTGACATGACAAACAATAGTTATGAGAAAGTAACAAAAGCACATACTTCCTTTCTGCAATGTTGTCAGCAGATCTTTCCTCTACTGATTATATAAAGCCACACCCCATAAACACACATGGAAAACAAATACTTTCTCTCTCTAGATCACACACACACACACACACAACTTTCCAACTTCCAACCATATCTCCATCTGCGGTCCTGCACCAGGTTGCATGCATTGCCTTTTCCACAGGCACATCTTTCAGAAAGAGTGAATCACAACCAAATCTAGTATACATAATCCCGAATATATGGCATACTAAAAGCTCTTCTTTTGTCTCTTTTACTTTTTACATTTTCCATGAGGTCCAAGAAATCAGTGTCAGAAACCTTGTACCACTRCTATAATATGGTAGTATAAAATCACCAAAGGTCATAACTCATAAGCTAGATACTCCAATCCAGTTTCACTTTGCCCCATCAGCAGGATCAAGGAAACAATGCAGAATTTGCAAGAAAAAACAAGATTAGAAGTTTTTTTTTTGCTTTTTTTTTTTTTTTTGCATAAAGGGGTTGGAGATCTACCCAAAATATGTACATTGTGCTAATCAACTTTCTTGGAAATTATAGCCTAATCAAGATGCCAAATTTCGACAAGGGGAAAGGGTAAAAAAGGTGATTGCATAAGCATAAATGTATAATTATTAAGCTGACTATACATACCTGCTATTATCATCAGTCTTCAGACAAAAGATTTGGTCACTCCCAAAAGCTCCCTAGCATCTCATTAACATGTACAAAAACGTTATATACTTTGTCAAAGTTGATTTGGTTCAAAAATATGAAACTTAGGTGTAGTTAGACAAGCATGAGGACTACATAATGGTAGAGAAGGGAGTGTATCGAACTTAATATCATAGTGAAAGACAATGTAGTCCTTCTGGTACCACCCTGGGCATTGGATTAGCTGTAACATATCTCTGAGGATATCGCTTCGGCACAGTGGAAGCTCTGCCAGATGATGCTGTATCAGCTGTAACCAATGGCCCTCGACCGTGGAACTTGGCGAAACGGTTGATGATTGAAAACCTATCCAAGTCTTGAAACTCCACCCTTACATCCAGAATTGATGACTCTCCTTTCTCCAACCTTCATCACCGTTGTAATATGCATTAAAACAATGGACAAGCATATCTTTTCAGGGTAACAATATTGCTAACTTTACTCGTATTAAATTTCACATGTAAAAAAATATACTTTTGTTGCTGCATACCAAACTAATTTGAATCTTTGTTGTTTTCTGTTAGAGTAGGGAAGCAAAGGAAGAGTTTACAAGCCCTCAAGGTCAGATCTTGCATGGTTATAGCATTTACACTGTATGTGTATGATCAATCTGCATATCCTGCTGTCTGTTGTTCTAAAGTCTGAATTACTTCCAATCATTTGAAGGTTTACTAATGATGGATTTCATTTTTACCTCAATAACTCGTCTTCCAGCCTCTTTGATCTATCAATGAAGCCTTCTACAGTTTTTGAAAGATCCAGGTGATTAAAGCTTTTAGGAATCATGCTTGTCCTTGATGACCTGGAGAGAAATTCCAACGAAAATAGAAATGTAAAGTAGTCTACTTAAAACGCAAGTTTAAAATATTCCCTGATAAGGAACACAAATAAAAGTAAACTAGGAAGAGTAGTTCTTACGAGCCAAATATACAATGAGGCGTGCGAGAATGATCAGCCAAGCTACATGCATCACCCAGTGCTAATCTAGCTGCATAGTATGTCACAGTATCAGAATGTGCAGTAGCATCTTCTGAGGGAGCCATGGTTGGTGCAGGCCGAAATAACAGTTGCATAAGCTGCGTTGTTAAGATGAGTCTTCTCTTTGGGTGAACCACCGAAAGTGAATGTGCTACTTTTCCGACCTCTTCTTTCAACTGTTGATAGAAATTAAGTGTTTAGGACAAGTATCCAAAGACCTACAGGCTCCTATATGTTTGACTTATCACGATCATATAATGCACACTACCCTAAAAAGCACACCTTTTCAGGCAGCCGATTCACAGATTGTGCCCACTCCATTTCAGCGATGCTGCAAGACAACATTGTCAAACGTTATGTAATTTAAGCATCATTTAACTTCTCTTTATAAGCCGGATCTCTATTTACTGAATTTGCAAGCTCAATTTCTTTTAATAATATGCCTTGTATCCATGAAACTGTTTCTGCTAGGAGAACAAGAAACAGTAATAGATTCCCATCTCAGATAAATAGATATGTAAGATGAAGTTAACAAGATTCAAGTGTCACACACCTCATATCCTGAAGCCCTAAACAACCTTCAGTCACTTCTTCATGCCATGTTAGACGTTCGGATGTAGAGCATTTTCTCTTCTTTGAGTTTAGAACAACCATATTTTGGTTAGCCACATTTAAGTGTTGCGAATAGAAGGAAGGCAAATGTCTAAGAGCCGCATCATTGGTCCCAGTAATTGGCCCCACACTCCCACATTGATCAATGCTAGCTACTTGCACCAAAGAACAATTTCTTTCCAGACTTCCAGGAGGCCCTCCAACCAAGAGATGTTGTGAAGCATTATTCCTGATCTTTGCATCATTCATGGACATCTGCTCGTTATTTGAAGCCTCGTGAGTCTTTAACCAGGAGGGAGCTTTGTTGTATGTGGCTATATTTGGAGAGGTATCTTGAAGAGGAGGTTGAGATGAGCTTTTGGCCAACTGATCTCCTGTTGCAGCTGATGAGCCGGGATGATTCATATAATTCCCATAAGAATTCGGCTGGGCAAGCGAGGTAGCTTGAGGAATTTTATCGTCACAAGTTACCCTTTCAATCTTTATCACTGCCCTTCTACTGGGATCATAATTTGTGAGGTTAACAAGGGAATGATTATGAGGGGGAGCATCTGCTTGTTTCAAAGAACGCCCAAAGGCCTCGAGATTTCCTGGAGAAATTGGAAGGGTATGATTGCCATCTTGTTGCTCTCTATTAGATCCCTGCACCAGTAAACTAGAACCATCACTTGTTTCTAGGTTTCCTGAAAGAGTTTCTCTTTCGATGTGGGTTTTACTGGCAAAGCCTCTCCCGTCATCAAGACCTTGTGAACTGTTCATATGTGCATCAGTTTCTAAGTAGTTCTTTTCAGTTTTGACATACTTCCAGTAGTCCAACCCCTTTGAAGCTTCAGAAGCAGTTTCCATCCTGCTATTTGCTGCATATGAGGTACTAGAAGGTTCACAAGGTCCCATGCCAGAAAGATTTTGTTGCACAGGCACATCCACCCATATAGTTTGTTGAGCCATTTCTGCCGCCATAGGATGCTGCTTGGCCTCGAGAGTCGTTGATTGTTGACCATCTTCATTCTTCACTGAAACTAGATGGGATGTTTCCTGAGAAATATCACGACTAAAATCCAGGTGTCTACTTCCTGTGTAAGACGGTATTGCTAACGGAGATTGGTTTGTCATACAATTCTGATTTTGAAGCCGATTATTATTAGATTGAGGATCTTGAAATGGTTTACTGGGATGACCCTGCATATATATACTAATATACATAAATATCTGAGGTTATAATCCCAGTGGTTGCAACAGCTCAATTGTCGTACGACACTCACCGCTTGTAGAGTGGTCTGAGATGGGTCAAAATAATTTACAAGATGCCTTTGACTTGGAGGGGCCAACTTCAAGCCAACGCATTGTGAACGAGAAGAATTATCATGTGATGAAGTAAATGCATCGTCAGGTTCAGCTTTAGGCTCCTCAGTTATTGGAGCCGAATTGGTATAGCCAGACTGTCTTCCATGACTACATTCTTTGTCTACCTTGTGAAGAAGCTCAAGCATATTGTGGCTGTCATTGCATGCAAGAACCATATTCCACAAAATCATTTAATTCATAGCTTAACAACATAATTAGGATTGTTAAAGCCAGTGGCAGTTAAAGAGAGTGGGAAATCTTTCTAAGCGCTCTGTTCAATAACTACGATAGAAGATCAATTACAGGTAATGGAATTCTTAAAGCATACCTTGCCTGACCAGTTGAATTTGGAGCAGGAAAGCCAGCTGATCTGTCTATGAAGTTCTTCGAAATATCTGGCAAGAAACCCTGTTGAAAGATAAATGATAGCTATAGTTATTACAAGCTAATTTTTTTCCTCGGATTGTAAAAGAAGACTTTTAAGGAAGTAAAAGGCACAATCACGAACCTGACCAGCTTCCTTACGGGACTGGTGGTTGGCATCTGAATGCATAATCTTTGGGTTCTGAAAATGGGTAGCAGGGACATGCTGAAAACCAGGGAAGCTTGAGATAAGCTCTGGCTTTGGCAATTTGTTATACAGCCATGGAGTTGAATGCTTCTCACTTTCCACAATATTAGAAGGCTTGTTTTCATTCGAGAGTTCTGCATTCTTAAAACTCGACCCACTCCACTCTTTCTGTAGCCCAGCATCGCTGCTAGAGGCTTCTGCGACGGCCGACTGCATAAGAGCGCTCCAACTCCCACTTTGAAGAGAAGGAAAATCACTCGAATGATCGGTGTTCTCATAGCTTTCTGTACCCACGCTACCATGCTTGCCAAACGAAGTTCCCCAAATATTATCTTCCATATTGAACAAAATCTTTTGTTCCAATGGATCCAAACTAGCCAAATCCTGATTATTGCCAACATTTTCCATTTTCTCAGAAAAACGGCCAGGCCAACCAGATTCTTGTGATGATGCACATCTGTCGTGGTTATTCACTTCACTGTTGTGCTTGGTCAACAAACTGGCAGATTCATTAGACATAGCAGTTCCATCAAGCTGCTGAGATGCAAGACCTGTTGAATGCTGAGCCTGATTTTGAGCCAATCTATTCGATAAATTCGTCTTACCAAACATAAACATCTGGGATGCATCACGAACGGGTATACCATTATTTAACAGGGGATATTGAGTCCCGGAAGACTGCTTATAATGCATCAAAGATAGCTGCTGATCCATCACATTTTGTTGTCTACCATCATTTAATTCCACAAGTTTCTTTTGCCTCTGGAGTTCTTGCCACTGCTTGAACATGATTTGCCGTTCCAACATCTGAATCTCATTAAACTGAAACTTCTACGTACAGTCTTATACCTTCCTTAACATCTAGAAACGGTCTAAAATGGAGTAATGTTTTATGAAAGGACCAACCACTCATGGATGCCATTAGTTTCCAAGTAACGAGCATTACACTTTGCATGAATGACCAAATTAATTTTGGACAAGAAAATTACCACACATGGACCATTCTTTTTGCATTTACATCTCCATGATTGTGGCCAAAATCACTCGTTCTTGTAAACTACATTGTCTTATATATTTCCCTGAAAAGATAAAGATTTTCAATAGCTTAACATCAATAGTGTGAAACAATAAAAAATGGGTGTTTGGCTCAAGCAGGAAATGAAAATGGGAATGAATTCTCATTCCCTCAATTTAAACCAGAATGGAATGGACCCATTATATTATATATTAAATTATATAAAACCAAACAGTTACTTTTATTTCCATGCCCGTTAATTACTGCTTAATACCTCTAACCAAACACCACCTTGAAATAAAGCAACAGAATTGAAGCACATATTCTGCTTTTTCCCAACTTTTAAACTTCTGAACATCCAACCAAATTCAGATAATTACCAGCAACCCCAACCGGACCCACATAGAAACCGCCTCCACACCACATGTGAGGAGGCATTTCGTGAGCTGACTCAGCCGCCAAGCCAGGTGGATTTGAACCTGAACCTGTCATGTATTTGGCAAAGTAACCAGCCCCTATACCAAATGAGCTACAGACCCAAGGGTCAATTCAGGTAATATTAGCCAAATTTCAATGCTACTACCAATTTTATTCTATTTCTAATTAAGTTCATGTCTACATGCTAGGTCAAAAACCATACAATGACTTAGTGTGACCTTAAAGAAGGAAACCTCAAACCTAAAGGATAAAAGAAAATTATAAGGAACAAACAATTAAACACCAGAATCAAGCAAAACCCTATGTAACTGAAACAATTACAGAAGAACAGCATTTGGGGCAAATTGAAAACTCAAACCCAGAAAAGCCTCTGCATGAAACCAACCTTTTAAAATCAAACTTTTCCCAGAAATGAAAAAGGGAAATTTGAATAATGTCAAATTATTTATCCAAAAATATGCTGTGTTTCAGCTGGATTGAAGCTACCAACACAAAGGTATCTTGTGTACAACATTAATAATCTGTTGGGAAACAGCTAAAATTAAGAAAAGAATTTGTAAGGGTCTAAAAGATTGTGATCCAAATGGAAATTGTTCTTTGGGGTTGTTGAAAATAGTGTAAAAATTCTTACTTTGGTAAGGTAGGTCTCCTTTCTTGTTGATGAAGATCAAGATTATCAATTTTTCTGCTACTGCAAAAGGGAGCAGCTCACTACACCATCTCTCTATATCTTTCTCTCCATATACATACATATATATATACACATGTGGGTGTGTGTGTGTATATATATATATATATATATTTATATGTATATTTATCTCTCTCTCACTCTAAAAACGATGAGGGAGAAAGATGTATCTTTCCTCCATAAAGCTGATAAATACTTAAAATATGTTTTTGTCGGTCTAGGTTCGGTTGTGAACCTAGAGGCTTGGTGCCGAGGCTGAGGTCTGCTGTATGTATGGGAAGGTTTTAACCGTTGATTTAGATATTTGAGAGATCGGACGACTGGTATGAAGAAACTGTGTTGATAGATCTTGAATTATAGAAGACCAGGGTACTACGGATGCAGGTGGAAGCACCTGATTTTTTTATCACAAAAAAGAGGGTTTTTTTAAATATTATATGTTTTTTATATGTTAAAATCTAATTAAATTATATATTAAAAATATAAAAAACAAATCTTAATATTATTTATATCAGAAAAAATTTATACATAGAAATGTATTTATTGATATATAGCGGTGCATTTGACCTACTTTTTTTTTTTTATCAAAAATTAAAAATAATATGTTAAAATTGGAAATATTAAGTTAAGTTATCATCATGTAAACAAAATCAACCGGTTAAAACTATGAAAATTAAAAAAAAAAAAGATAAATATAATCAAATGGAACGCAAGTATGTAACCTGTATATCTCACTCAAATAATAATAAATGAAAATAATCTGATCACCGAGATATAAAATATAGGAATTTAGTTACTAAATTTAAATTTGTTATCACATTAATTGAACTAGAATGATGTAATCAACATAGTTATGGATGTTTATATGTACACAAGAGAAAAATGCATGAAAGATTAATGATTGTTTTGGCTATTTTGCTAAATTTGTGTTATAACCGGGTTATTTGGTTATAAATTTTGGGTTGTTTTTTAAAAGTGGTGGTAAGTTGAGAGGTTTGATGTGTTATTGTGCTTAAATTGTTTTTAAACTACCACCGTTTCATTCTTTAATTGTTTGATATATGAGATAATTTAATTATCTCATTGGGATGGTGGTTAAGAAGTAAAAGGACAATAAGCTTTTTGGGTGTGATCTCTTGTGCGAAGAAAAACATAAACCTAAGAGGGAAATTAGAGAAGTTGATTTCGTGTTATTGTTTGGATAATTTGTTATTGTTCATCTTGTATCTTCATCTACGAGAGCATATAAGGTGAGTTTTAATTTGTATAAACTTTCCTTATTTTGAAACTAAGTTTATAACCGTATAGTTATTTATATGAAATTGTTGTTAAAACTGTTTTGATGCCATAATTTGGCAAAGATTGTGGGTTATTGTTATGATTACATCATGTGTGGTAATAAGGGTTGTAGCATATCAAACAGATGTGTACTTTGGATTATAAGGGTGGTATATTATAAGACTGTGGGTTATTGTTATGATTACATAAAATTTGATGTTAGTTTTCAATAGAAAAATATATACATTACATGAAAAATATATATAATTTTGCATTTTAAATATCAACATCTGAAATAACTTTAGAAAATGCATATTTTAACCTTGGTTGCTTGCGTTCGTTTAACTTCTCTACTTCTTTCTCCCTCGTTCTTTTTTTTAATTCTTTTTTTATTCGTTTAGAACGAATAAACCAATACCATTAACCCATGTAAGGTTCTTTTACACCCTTGTTCAACCATCATGACCTAATCCAAATTCTTACGAAACAAATCCGTAGAACCATCAGATCCTTAAACGTTATCTTTTATTAAATGACATATTTAGTCCCTATACTTGAAAGTTGAATATATTTTTGGGTTGTTAGATGGTCCACACTTGATGTTTGAGTTTGGCTCAAGTGCTTTGGAACATGACCCACTACCGAGATCCTCGTCCAAGATTGTGGGAACAGCTAATATATATATATATATATATATATATATACTGACACACAAAGAAATGTCTTTTATAAAACAATTCACTTGTTTTGTATCGTTACGTTTACACGTTCCTTTCAACATCCATTGCCACGTTTATATGAAACATATTTAATCATATTTTAAACTATTGTTTTAACTTTTTCCTTTTTTTGTTAGTTTTCATCGCTATTTTCTCTTGTATAAAATTTATTTATGTTTTCCTATATATAACATAAGACTTGGTATCATATGAGACTAGTTTGTGTTCGTGAGACCACTTTTTTACACTTGAAACTTCACAACAAAACATTGTGAGGTAACCTTCACAGTATTTTTGCTGCGAATGTTCGGTTTTTTTTAGCTTCACAGTGTTTAGCTATGAAGTATCAAGTGTAAAAAAGTAGTCTCACAGGTTACATCAATCAAGAATGTTTTTTTCTCTCTCATTATAATGGAACCGTGAAACGGTTACACAAGTTATTGTATGACCTTGCATAGGTCCATTTATATCAATTTGAGTTGTTTACAAGTTTATTTAGACCTCATCCAATTTTAGTAATAACTACCACAATTGAATACGTTTTACGGCGATTTGGTTAATCAAAATATTACATTGAAAATATAACTCGATTAATCGTCGTCTATTAATAACAAGTACTATATATATTGGTATAAAAACAATAACTGTAACATGAAAATAGTTTTTGAACAAAAATAAATCATCGCAATGTTAAGAAAAATATTATTATAGCAAGTGGGTCATCATTAGGGGTGCTGAAAACCCGACCAATTCAACCCAACGCGAAATAACTCAAGCCGAAGCAACCTGATGTCTAATCGAGTTGTAAAATTTTCAAACCGTATATATTGTGTTGATATTGAATTACTATTATTTGAACCAAACCCAACCTGATATCCTTTTATTTATTGCATTTAATAAGATTGTTGAGTTTATATTAATATATATATTAGACAATTACAATATCGCATACGCTATTCGTATATACATATTTTCAATCTATTTTCTATTTTTATATAGCTCATTCGTATATATGTTTAGTAACTATGAACGTATATATAAAAATTAGAGAAAAATAATTGAATGCGATGTACATAAGTCATTTACATTACAAAGTAATAACAAATGGGGATGTAGCTCAAATGGTAGAGCGCTCGCTTTGCATGCGAGAGGCACGGGGTTCGATCCCCCGCATCTCCACTAAAAATATATGTTTCTTTTGAATGCTCAATAAAAAAATACAAATGTTTTTGAGTTTTTTATTTTATTTTAGGCAGATTATTCATAATTTAATTACTACTTTCATGCATTTTAATTATGTCCATATTTTGGTTATAAAAATACTTCAAATAAGGATATATTTCGGTTCCAAATATGTTTAAGTTATGAAAATATTCCAATTTTGATTTCTAAATATGTTTAATCTATGGGCATATTTAAGTCTAGGATATGTTTCAGTTAGGGACATAATTCAGTGTTTGGTTTTCTCGTATTTGGAAGTTCCCGCCATCATTTTCTCCAAAAGCAGCCATGTTACTCGTAACGAAATCAATTTTTCGCTATGAAGACTACGTTTCCCCAAATAGATAGTGACAACATAATCAAGATCGATATTACTCTTCAATGATGATGGAGAAACTTCAAGGACGTGTAGCAGGTGCCTAAATCAATGGATTTGTGAAGTTTACAATTTTACCTTTGTTCACCTATGTTTATCAAATTTCATGACGTCCAATTTCTAATATATTACAAAATTGCCACCAAATAAACTTGTCCATTGATTAAACATATTAATGGTTAGGATTGATTAACAAATGAAGCCAATATTAATTAATTGAATGATAAGAATACTTTTAACTAAAAAATAAACACATAATCATCCTATTAATATATTGAAAATTTTGTAAAATATTTGCTTGTTTGGGACAAATTTACACCGAAATGTATAAATTTATTTCGAAATAAACTTAAACAAAAACAAAAACTATTGTTTCGAAACAAACTTGAATAAAAATGGATATTTCGAGACAAATGTTGAGGCGTATACTTTTTTGACATTATTTAAACTAATTTCCTGGTACCCAAATTACAGAACGAACTACATTCTCAACCACAACTGATAATCTGAGCCTTTGTCAACAAATTTTTGCCAACTCCCATCCAGATTGATTTCTTTTGAAGGATTCCAATCAAACTGCCCCAGTTTCATCACCAATGTATCTCCTATCTGGGACACATAACCGTCGCTATTAGCATGGTAAATCTTCACAGGGCTTCGGCAGTGGATCCCCGCTCGTTTTCGAGCCTCAATTAGTTCCGTTATTACATCGTGGATCCCAAAATCATAGAAATGGTCATAAAATACCACGGGCTGCAGTATAAAAATCAAAAACCAGCTGATTAAGCATCATTCAAATCCCATCTCAGTTCTAAAACAGTAATATATGACCACATAGTGGCGCCTTGAAACCACATGTTTGGAGTCTCGCAGCTTAGTTTAAGGAGTAGCTCACTTTTCTAATCGTCTTGTTTTTCGAGTCATTTGAAACAAATTGTGGAAATTTAAATCGCTCATTCTTGTAAAGTCGAACATTCTTGTTGCATCTTTTCAAGGATAACAGTTTGTTTGCAACGAAAAGTCACATTATAATGATTAGAAAAGTTTGTCACTCTTGGTTTAATCCACAGGAGCCAGAAGCCAGGCACTTAAGGGTGAGTTTGGTCTGTGGATGCGACTGGACGGGTGAGAATAAGATAGACGCGTGAAAGAATTGTGGAAGGTATTAGTATAATACCCGTCAAATATATATGTGTGTGTGTGTATATATATATATAT